TTTTATTTATTTATTTATTTATGTATTTATTTATTTATTTATTTATCTATCTCTCTTTTGTTCCGTTCTAAAGTGTTTCACAGGTAATTATTAGGCCACGCCCACTTAAGCACCTGTTCCAGGAAGTTGTTGGAGCGTACAGTATGTGCTCGATTTCAGCACTGGAAGGATATGTCTTTGATTTAAGTTTCTGTCTTTTGGTCTAAAACAAGCTTAAGTCTGTTGAAGACTCCTGTGTTGTGACTTAGCAGCAGGTAAGTAGGTTACATGGGATATGATTGTTTGAAATCCCTTCATAGTCTGAGTAGAATCAGTGCTGATCTGATCTGAGGGATAGTGACTTTTTTTCCCCACAGGTTTTCTGTTTCATGAACTGTAAAAAACAAGATTTATTCAAATATAAATATTTTTTATATGTTTTTAAAAAGATTTAACATAGTTTTGTGAGTTTAAATCTGTTTTGATATTCTGACATATTGCTATCTATCATCAACAAACTTTTCTGAAGTATTCAATGTGCTAATATTTTCATAAAGGGTCAGTTTAATATCCTTTAGTTACAATTAATTAGTGTAAATGTAATAGAAAACCAATATCTTCCTAGAGACAATATAATAATTAATGCCACTATACTTGAATTAGAAACATTGCTCAAAATGTAAATCTCTTTTAATAAATATATATAGTACAACATTCAAGTTAGATTAACTGAGAAATGAATGTTAATAATCTCTGTGTTCATCAGAATATTATGTGCTGTAATCTATTTAATGAAGAGGATAAGAAAAAAAAAGAATCAGGCACATCTCAGTTATCCTGTAAAGACTAAAAAGGTGCATATTTGGTTTTAGTTTAAATTCAACATAATGCTATGATACCTAGAGATTGTAATATTAAAATTTTATGAACAAAAAAAGATACTGAAAAACGACAAATGGGTCAGTAGCTGTGTGCTGTTGTGTCACAGCCACCAACTCTACCTGTTTTGCAGGATTTTCTGGTCTAGATGTGATGTCAGCCTGAAACTTCACTCAACATGTTATCTAAGAAGCACTGCCTGTCACACACGCTCCTCCTGCTGCTCGTTTGCTGGACAGCAGATGGAGCTTACAATGACTCGGAAGCAGGGTCCTTCACAGAGCTGGCCCCAGTCGCCTCTAGCAGGTACATCTTGGCAAAGGAAGGGTCCAGCATGCTAATCGAGTGTAACGTGACTGATGTTCAAGAGGACGTCCGGTGGTACAACTCTAAAGGACTTCTTCTTGGAAAAGAAGAAGGTAACAGGATTTTATTATGATCAGTTTTTATTTGATAATTTACCCTTTAAGTTGTCAAGAAACATCTAATTAACAGTTCATGACTTCTCATTTCCCTCTCATATTATCATGGCACAATGCAAAGACTCATTTCTTTTAGCCACTCCAAAATGAGAAAGACAAAGGAACATCCCTTCAAAAAGGAAAGATTTGTTCATTTATTCATGTGAAGCACAACTATGGAATTCACTTGTAGAGTTGGTTTCCAAAGTCCCCCACATCTCAATTCAAATGATCATCTTTGGGTTCAGATGTACAAAAACAAGTCACATCTATGGAGGCCCCACCTTGCAACTAACAGAACTTACAGGTTGCCAGTGCCAGGTACCAAAGCTCTCCAGACGAAGTTTGTATATTCATGTGGAAATACAGCTCTTAAATTCCATTAATAATGGTCTTAAAAAGTCTTAAATTTGAGATGGTAAAATGTGCAAAAACTCTGTACAGATTGCAGGTGATTAATTGTCTTTTCTAATTTTAGGCGGGAAGTGGCAGATCCAGGAGAAGGGTGTCCTAAACATCAGTGTGGTGTCCTTTGGGGACCGCGGCCGCTACACCTGCGTAGCCTCAACAGGCATCGGCCTCACCAGAAACTATACGGTCATTCTGCGTGTGGCGTACACCAACAGTGGCCTGGGGCTGTACTTTGTCATTGTGTGCTTGGTGGCTTTTGCCATCACGATGGTCCTCAACGTGGCGCGCTTGTGCATGGTCAGCAGTCACCTCAAAGAGACAGAGAAGACCATCAATGAGTTCTTCCGCACTGAGGGCATCGAGAAGCTACAGAAGGCATTTGACATTGCTAAAAGCATTCCCATATTCACCTCGGCAAAGACGGTGGAGTTCGCCAAGGTCACGCAGTTTAAGACCATGGAGTTCGCCCGTCACATCGAGGAGTTGGCACGCAGCATTCCTCTTCCGCCGCTCATTCTGAACTGCAGATCATTTTCAGAGGAGAACATGAACCCAGAGAATGATCCTGGAAAGATGGCTACATCAGCATCCAGGAACAGGCAGGCTTTAGGCCCGCCGTGCCCTGACCAAATCGAAGAGGAAAAGATGTGTGAGGCAATGCTGTCGAGTGGAAGACAAAGGAATGATGGGACTGGTGAAGACTTGAATGTGTCTCTGCATAAAGTAAAGGTTGACATTAAGGATGATGAGAGCAGTGCATGAACTGAGTGGGAATTCCAGCAAAGTACATTTTTACAGCCAGATAACTTAGGTTTTTGTCTTTGAAGATTGCCTTTCATCTTAAATGTAGCAATTTATGGTTTATTTTAATCCCATTCTTATTCCTGCAGCTCAAGTTCTCAAACATAAGCAAAAACTATCTTTAGGCTTTTTCCTTTGCTTTCAGATATTCTTTAACTCACCATCAGATTTCCAATTTTTGTTTTATGTTTCTGCAATTTTAGATCATTTCACTCATTCAAGGTTCCTTTATTTCTTTGTTTCCTTCTTTGTTCCCTTTGACAGGCAGGTCAGCCTTCACTGAGAAAATATTGCCTGGTAAAATCATTATCTCTCCACTTCCATTGTTGTCACATCACTCATAGGTAATTGGATTTGAAGAACTTGACTGATATCACGCATGTATGTTTACACAGGTCTTTGTTTGCCTGAAAACATTTAATTGCAGGGTTGAAATGAGGATTTTAAATAAAGCAGAAAAGGAAGATTCTTACACAGTAGTATGAAATGGAATATTTACCAATGAAAATGTCATATTTGGTCTGCAAATTAAATTCATTAAATTCTGTGATTATATGAGAAAAAGACTTTAATTTTCTATAGAGGTTTTTTGTATGCACATGGTGATGTGTGAAAGGCAAATTAATTACTCATTTGGATGCTACCCCTGCATGTTTATGTCAACAGAAGTCAAAAACAAAGATTTGTAAAATGTATAAAAGTGATAATGTTGATAAAACGCAGTCCTGTCGATTCTTCTTTGTGTCTCTGAAGGATATAAAAATTAAACAAAGCAATGTGATCAATCTGTGAACTGGGATTGAGGTAAAATGGTCTGAGTAGTTATGAAACTGGTTTGCTTTTTCCTCTTTCTGCTTCACATTGATGGAGAAGAGCTGAATGGAGTGAAAGAAGCTGAAATCAGTCTAATTTAACAATAACAATCTTTATTGTCATTATAGAACCATGGAATAAGTTACATGGATTATAACAAAATTGGTGAAAATCGTACTACAAGGTATTTAATGCCCTTATGACTACCAGGTATAAACTGTTCTTCAGTCTGTTTGTCTTTGCTTTAATGCTCCTGTATCTGTAGCCAGATGGCAGCAGTTGGAACAAATACACTTTTACAGACTGATCTTATTATTTTGTGTTAGCTGTGGTTACATGGGAGGAAAATCATGCAGCTGTTATCAATTTGAGTCATAACGGCTTCCAAGAGTCTGGTAAGTAGATGAAAGGAGAGTTTTATTCATAATTAAAAACGTCAAGCTTAGAAGTTATCAGCTGCAAACAAAGGCTTTAGACTGTCCAATACATAATGTGGCAAAGTAACAAAGATGTCCTGCAAAAGCAGACACTTTCCAAAATCTATCAAAGGCTTATTGATGACCTGTGGATTTTCTTGCATTTTAGAGCAGTGTGCCACAAGGATGAAGTGATAAGAAAGTGACTCAAAGATTAAAACTTTACTGGACCTTTGGTCAGAAAACTCTTCCCATCTTAACTCCGCTGATAAGCTGATGAGTTCTCCAAAGGAAGGTGCAAAATTAGAAGTCAAATAACTTGTGATTTACTCCATTGATGACATTAATGAGATCTTAACGGCTGGAGATCAGTCAGGAATCAGGACCCAGAAGTTGATATCCTGACTGAGGGATAAGGATTGATTCTTTGTATGAATTTCATGTGTTATTCACTTATCTTCACAGTAATAATAATGCTAAATATTTTAAAACAGTAGCGATAAGGGTTGATTGGATGTGCAGTAGTATACAGAAACCACATGATGGCGCTGTTGGTTAGCACAATTTCATGTGATCTGCGGCGCTCTAACAGCCTGACACGTTCGTGAGTCACATTTCAGTTCAGTAGTCGATGGAAGTATCAACTCCTGTTCAACTTCTGGGTGCACTTGAGTTCTTCAGTTTTAAATATTGAAACATTACAAAATGAGAGATGCATTTACCAGTAAGAAAATTCATAAAGCAATAAATTTGAAATTTTATAAGAAATATAAGATTAGGAAATTAGGAAATGACATGAACTTTCATGCAGGTTTAAACTTTCAACTTTACATGCAAGTTGAAAGGTCCAAAAAATAGTGTGAAAAACACATCTTATGCCTGGGGCTTAAAAATACCCTAAACTATCCTTTTGGTTGCACATTTGCAAGATCTAAGTAACACAATCAGAGGGATTTTGTCCATTAAGTAAAATTAACGTTGGCTTCACAGTATTTAACAATTAAAAACATATTTTGTGGGGAAAACGTGAAAGGAAAAAAAACAAAGCAGAATATTTATGGGGTATGACTCCCTTCAGGCAAGGTAAGGTAAGTTTAGAGGAGTATTTTCATATTCCTTTGTATTTATTAGTGGAATGATGTTAGTCGTTTTCCTGAGTTGATGGGTTTGTGTATTTGCTCAGCTTCTTCTGTGCTTATTAGTCACCTTCCCTCAGTGTTCCTGGTCTGCTTCTATTCTCCTCCTTATTAGTCACACCTGGTTCTCATGCCACTCATCAATTCTCCAAGTAGTCATAAGCTCGTCAGATTCTCCTATTTTTCACTGTCAAGTATCTTCCGTGCTAGCTTCTCTGTGCTCCAGTTGCTTTCAGTTTCCAGTCAGTTGTTTTTTCCAAGTCTCCTGTGCCAGAGCTTCAGTTTTCCTGTAAAGCTCGGGACACACGACACAGCTTCCACAGTCATCACAGACAGAAGGACTAGGTCCTGGGTGTTTAGCTCCCATCCTCAAGGGCTGGTGTAGATGTGTCTCTGCTCCAACACAGCTCACTGAAATGGTCCAAATATCCTCAGTGTGTCAAAGTCTGCAGAGGTTCTGCTGATCAACCATCATCTGACTGATCTAAAATGACAAAAACATGAAGAATATCAGTCCTTGAAAACTGACACTAACAGACTGCTAACTTAGGCCCCTTAGTTTGCTGAATACAGATGATATAATATTTGCTAAAATACTAACTATGCTACTAGAGAAAGTGGCTCCTGCATTGGTTAATTTTGACCAAGAAATGTTTGTAAAAGGTCTCCATGCTGCAAAATATATGAGAAGATGATTTGAAATAATCCATGGAAACACATCTCTGCAACATCCAGAGGTTTTATTGTCTGTGGATGCTAAAAAAATGCATTTGACAGGGTTGAACAGACATATTTACTTTAGACACTACAAAGATATGACTTTATGTATGTATGCAGTGGAGAGCACTTTATTAACCACTAGCCTTTGTTAAAATTGACAAAATCAGAGAGCTCAGTGGAACATTTTATTTGAACCTATAAATACTTATTTCCTTTTTCACCCTCCTGAGTATGTATTGTAATTTAGTTTTTTGTGTAAAAGAAAGTGTAAATAAAAAAAAAAGTGAATGTAAGATAAATAGGTTCACATATGTGAACATATTTCATTTAGAAATGTCTATTTGTTAAAGTCTATTTACTTTTATATTTCTTTTTTACTGTTTTCTCTTTAATGTTGTATAGATACAGATTTTTAAAACGTCAGCTCACAGCCTTTATTTTTTGTTAGTTGTCGGCAAATATGAGGTCAGGTCAGTGACTGGCTCCAGATTTCACTCAAAAATTGTTTGACTGAAACTCAGGTTGGCTGATCCTGTTTCCTTCAAAATTCCAGTTTTCACTTCTTCTCACACCAACAGGTCTTTGTGCTGACAGACCACCGATACTCCAAAATGATACAAACTTTCCCTGATTGGGAACATGGTCTGAAATTGTGGAGCAAAAAGTGTAGTTTGTCCCGAGTTTAAGTGTTTTTCTTCAGTAAACTCATTAACAACATAAGGTTAAAACTATATTGTCTGCACTTGGATCCAACACTTCAGAAAAAGATGAAAACCGTTCACCCATGGGACGATTCACAAAGAAAAACAAGGGAATAGAGATATATTTCATTAGAAATAGACTGAACTGGAGAAACTATGAACAGAAAGGGACTGATTGCAGTGTTATGTTACTTTATCTAAGTCTCTGCTATTTGTCACATTTAATCCACTTTTAAGAAAACATAATTTGTAATTATTTTGATTGAATAAACAACTAAGGAACAAAAATAGCTGAACTTTATTTCTAACAACCGTCAAGAATGATCAAATGTTTATCCTGGGCCAAAAACAAAGTGGTAATGCAGGGGAAAAAATGTTTTATCTGCCATTGTAATTAGATTTGGCAGAATTATAATTAGATTGACATAAACTGTGTTTATTTGGTGCTGTATTGAACTCATCTTCCCTGTAAAGTGCTCTGAGATTACTTTTGTTGTACAGGGAGACTAAATAAATAGAAGCGAATAAGGTTGCAGGCGCTTTATCGAGCTCTCCTTGCACTGGGCCTTTTCTGTATCCACTGGTATTTTTCCCAGAGGTTAATCTCCAGTAATACAGTTACTCAGTCTGCCCTACCTGTGAAAATATCAGGTTGGCCGGCATCCCAAATAACAATAACCTTGGGCCTCTGTGTTGAATAACTCTAAAAATCCATCCATCTTCGTTTTTTTTTTTTGTCCTCTCCAGAAGCGAGCATATCTAAACAGAATTGATTGGCACGGACGATCATTCATCATAGCGAGCCTGAGCAGGCGTTTAGAGAGAAGGGGAAGGAAGATTTTAGGGGAGGAATATTTCCGACGGGCTTCAGTGTCATTGAGGTAAACCGAATGAATCGATTGGGCTAAAAAGGATTGGCGCAGAGCGTACAAGTCAGGGGAAAGTTGTGGGAGAGAAAAGCCTTCCCCTGCCTTGCTAAGGGCGTGTGACTGATTAAGGATGCTTGTAAAAACAAATGAAGCCTACATGCTGCAAATTTGGGCCTCTTCAAATTAAATTGCTTATAAAATTAGGTTAGAATAAGACCGCTGCTAATTTGATTTCGTTTGCAATCAACTGGAAGAAACAAGACAAGGGGAGAAGATGATGAGTCACATGAGACAATGAGAGAAGAGCGTGTCGTTGAGGTCTGTAGGACTCCATGCAGATGATTGAATCTGCTGTTCAGCCTGTTTGTATTAATGGCTCTTCTGCTTGTGGGCCTGATCTCAAACAAAGTGTTGTCCTTATACCTCAGATACTTGTCTAGGGAATGAAAAACTTTTTTTTTCTTTTTTTTCTTATAATTAGTTGTTTATCACAGCAACTTCAAGAGGTTTTTCCTTCCATAACTCACTAATGCATGTTGTAAACACTAATACATCCTGTTCATGTTATAGATCTGAGTGTACAGGCAGGTTTCACAGACTGTGGAAGCTAGGAGAGAGCAGAAAGCTGCACTGATTCCAAGAATAGCTCCATGGATCATTGGTTCATACAGAGAACAGTGACCTGTAATTAAATCTGAGGAAAGTGGTAATTCCAGCAGGAAGTTTTGAAATTACTTCCATTTAAAAAAAATACAGTGGCGCTCCAACCAAAGAGTTTTGACATTTGTCCCAAACTGACATATTTTATTCAGTTGTTGTTTTCATCAAATCCTAAGTTTAAGCTGCTGAACTAATACTGTTACTACAATGAAAATAAGTTAGTGTGACCATCAGAAACTTTTACTGTTGGGAAAAAGTTTAGTTTTATATTGGAAATGAAATTGTGACTTTTGCCCTTTCAAGTGACAAACATGTTTCACAGTTTAATCCAATGTGATAATTAAGCAGTTGGAAGCATCAGCTGAACGGTTTAGGTCAAATCTTTGTTAAATGTTCTTATGGAGCTCATACAAAATAAAATCAGGTTAAAGTTCTAGAGTTCTTCCTAAAACTGTATTGTGTTGACTGTATTTTGAACTTTTGAAAACAGCTCTGCTTTTAAAAATATGTGACTCTATTTCATCTCCAAGGAAACAGAAATACAACATGATTTCAGTGGTTGAAGTTTAAAACCTTTAAGTGAAGTTTAAGTTCAGAGAGTTCACTTCAAGAAGCGCCTAAATTGGAACAGGAAATTGCCTCTATTAAACTCTCCAGGTTTGTTCTTTATGCTCAGAGCAGTTTGATGTCCTGGAACTGCAAACAGAGCGTGTTAGAGGCTGTATTTTCCTCCATTATGCAAGCCTTACCTAGACCATACTTAAGTGCCTGAAATTAGTGGCTCTAGGTTGGGAGAAATTGCCAAAGAGGCCCCTTACGTTCCACTCTGATTCTTCAAATAAGTCAAGTCAATTGTGAGGTTTTCTGTTTTGCCCTTTTATTCACTTTCTTCCACAGCTTCAGTGGAGGATGGCTGCAGTACTCGCCTCACTCGCCTGTTTTGCCATTCATTATTCATCCAATCTTAAAATCCACAGGCTTCACATCCGGCTTATTTCCAGGCAGCCAGCATCACAAGCTGCTCGCTTGTCAGAATTATTCATATTTCAAGCTCATTTGACTTTCAGCTCTTTTTGAATATGAAGAGAAGTGGAAAGTCAAAAAATGGGGACTCCATCTGTGATGTAAAAAAAAAAAAAAAAAAAAAAACATCCCAAAGGAAGCGTTGTCAAAGTACACAGTGTGTCACCAGCAAGCGTTGGAATGAACAGGTTGCCAAATGTTTTCACACAGGAATGTCCAATTCTATACATCAAGGCTGGTGTCCTTCATGTTTTTGATGTTTTCCTGGTTCAACAAACCTGAATCGAATGAGTCATAATCAAACTTCTGCAGAATGTTATGGAATGGTGAGGGTTACTCTCTCATTTGAATGGACTGTGTTGGAGCAGGACACATCAAAAACGTGAAACATATCAGTCACTTCAGGACTGTAAGGAGGTCCTGTGTTAGGGAGGAGGTTCAACTTACCCAGGCTTACTAACAGATATCTAGCTAAACTGAACCTGACATCGGCATCATCAATTTTTTATGTCAACCCAAGTTTACTGACTCTGCATGTGGTCCTTGATGGAAAAACAGTGGAGCATATAATGGAACAAGTTAAGTCAAGAGTGAAAAAGCTGCTTATGAAGAAAGAAAGACCTGAGTAGTTTTTGACAGGGATGATGTAGCTCCATCCCCAGGGTGCCACAGACTAAAGCCTTTCTTTTTCTGTTTCTTATTTACCAGATCAGACAATTGGAAATGAAAACCCTTGGTAAACACTGCAAGGAAATATGCTATTTTATGTGATATAATTCTATTTTAATATCGCTGAATTCTAGTTAATTAGCAAAGAAAACTTGTTAGATGTCTCAAAAGGAATCCTGCAGGAATGCTCTGACTTTGGAAGGAGGCTGAATGCCAGTTCACATCTCATATTTCATTTTTTTTAACATAAAGTCTTAATGAAGTAACTTCAAAGATTTGTCGTTGCAGTGACAAAATGGAAATAAATTTAAACTGGAGTATGTAAGTTTTATAAAAAGTATGTTTTCTCCATATTTGTTAAGACAGAATAACTTAAGACAGATAATATGTGAAAAGATTGAGCTGCTTTGCTTTTTCCCAGTACTCCCAGTGCTAACTGTAGAAATACACAGCTCTGTCAGAAACAACCAATCAGAGTTAGGAAGAGGGTCTTACTGCTGTCAATTATGCTCCTGTACAGACTGCTCACACTCTCTCCCTTACTGTCTGCTATGCTACAGATGGTTCACTACGACAGATTACCTGTCTCATAACAAACTGCCACAATACACGGATGGTTTTAACAAATATTTTAAAAACAGAATAAAAAAAATGAAACTTATAGACTGAAGGAGAGATATGTCTTTGCTCTGAGCTCTTCTGACCTGAACCACAATTTTTGAATCCCTCTGTAGGGAAATAAAGAGACACAAATGGATGGATGGATAGATCAAAATAATTTGGTATAGGTTAAAAATAGTTGAGGATTGGATCCATGGAAACACAAAATGATTAATTCGATT